TTTTTGAACACAATCATAAGATATTGTAAGCCAGGCACTTCATGGCTTTATCTTCCCTCATTTTAAATATTCAAATTTTAAATGATCTGTTCCCTAATAATCCAGTGCGGAGGCTTGAGTGTTTATTTCTGGTTGCAATTTTGACCATAGGCATGTGAAAGGAAATTTGAGCTGGGGTAAAGAATCACTATGGAGACCAGTAGGTACGAACAGTGTAGAAAATTGGAGTGGCAGAAACTTAATAGGTGAAAGCCTCTAGGAGGCATAGGTAAGCTCCTGGGAAAATAGCACCTTTGCAGTCTGGGAACTAAGGACAAACAAACAAACAAACAAACAAACAATAAACTTAAAACAAAAACAACAACAACAAACCTCACTGTCACCTCAAAACTACCTGCACCCTTGGATTTAGGACTGAAATGCTTTGATGGGAGAGGAAGCAAAGGGTGGCCACCCCAAACTGTGGAAATGGCAGTAATTGGACATTGGGTAGGATCCAGGGCTTAGTGGATGAGGATTGAAAGGGGACCCAGAACCATTATATATTTAATGCCCCAGTACTCCCCCTTGCAGTAATATGACACATTTAAATCTGATAGGCAAGGATCTGCACCTGTAAGAATTGATACATAAATATTTCCCCTAGTACCAATCCCCATATTCAGGGTAAACAGAGCTCAATCAATTAAGAACTCAATCTGTACTAAGCAACAACTCATAGATTGTAGCTTGCAGGTGTACTACACTCACATAAACTCCTCATATCAACAGTATCTTAAATTCTATATCATTGCAAAATTATTGATGTTATACCCTTATACACCAGGGGATCGAGTGACATGTTTTTCTTTGTTGCTTCTTTGTTTGTTTTTCTGCCTTTTTTTTTGTTTTTGTTGTGGTTGTTCTTGTTTTTTGTTTGTTTAGTCATAATACGACTGTTAAAGTAAACCAGAGTTCTGTATAACTTGTGAGCAAGCAGATGGATTATGGGCTCCCACTTAATTCTAGCCTCAATCCAAGAACAATGAGTTCTTATGACATGACCCTGCTTAATACTTGCCTTTCTGAAATGATCACTGAAAATAAGGGTGCTACAGGAAAATTTGGTGAAGAAAGCATATAGTTCCCCGCTATCAATTGGAATAGTGTCTGGGGCCTTAAAGGCTTGTATTCAAACAATCAACCCTCTAAGTGAGGCATCAACTAAGTCCACCAGGAAGAAGCACACCACCCTGTGTGATCCACAGATCTGCAGATAACAAAATCCAAATACGGTGAAGGGAAAGTATCAGAACCTAAATTGTGAACACCCAATTTGTAGAAGGTTATGGAGGACAGTGGGAGACCAAAATCCATCTGAAAACTATCTACTCAGATTAAGCCTCTGGCAGATCCCGACTCGAATCACAGGCAAAGGACCCAAACAGCTTTACTATCAGACAGAGATTATTGTAAATTTGATTATGGTAGATTGAAACTTGGTCAATTGACCTCCCTCTTGACCTAACCTGAATTTTCTCTAGGCTGAAGTATTTCTCATCTGTTCGAGGACAGAAATTTCTCTGGCCCTTTAAATATTGATAGTGATCTTTTCTTTATTATGTTTTATTTGTATCTTTATCTTTGTATTATTTTCTTCTTGCCATTTTGTTTTGTTGTTTTTTTATTGTTTCTGTTAGGTTTCCCAGTTTGTGAAGCACAGAAGGAGTGGATGTATAGGGACAATAACTGATGCAATGGTTTATTGGGGATGTAGAGGAGGAAGGGTAGGTGGGGAGGGGGATAGGATTTGGGGAGAAAACAATGAATGCAGGAGCAGAGATGGAGCACCAGAACTGATTGTGATGATATATACACAAATCTTTTTACAAGAGATTTAAGCATGGAAGTATATTGTATGTTAATATTATATCAAACAAGCAACTAAAAAAAGAAAGCAAACTTGACCAATTGTTACCCTGAGTGAAGAAGAAAGAGTTGTTGCTTATGGAGCATTGAGCTTATGTTAATAGTGGTGGAATAATTTGGAAAAGGATATTAATAATGATTGTACAACATGAAGATGACACTGAATTACACATGTAAAAGTTGTGGAATTGGAGAATGTTTTGTTGCGTATATTTTTGCTTCTGTTAGAAAAAAATAATTACATGAATAACAAGGAAGAGGAATATATTCTAGAATTGAATGTGGTGATAACTGTATGATTTTCTTTTTCAATGATTGCATTATTGATTTGTATGACATGTGGATGAAGTGCTAATAAAACTGCTAAGAAACAAGCAAACAAAACTGACATCAAGTTGATACCAACTCACAGTGACCCTATAATTGCAGAGTAGAACTGCCCCTGTGGGTTTATGAGATTGTAACTCTTTACAGGAGTAGAAAGCCCTATCTTCCTCCCTCAGAGTAGCTGGTGGTTTCAAACTGCTGCACTACCAGGGCTCCCGCAAAAAAATACATTTATGCTAACATTTCTTTCTGAACAAGGTCGGAGCTTCTCATAGGGTTTTCATACTAATACAGATTATATCTTTATTGACATTTTCTCCAGATTGCTCACAATACACTTCATGTTTTCATCCACAAAGTGGTGTGGGTGGCTGTAAGAAGAAAAATCACATTTCCAAGATGATAAGAAGAGACAATGTGGGGTTTGCAAAAGCAAAATTAAAAAAAAATCTGAAAGGAACGTTATGTCTAGCCAGAAGGGCCCAGCTAGGTATACTGCTTAACTGGAAATGCATAGGCATTCATTAGCCTTGGTCACAGGAAATGTTATTAATTAAGGGTGTTTTGTAAGTCTGCTGGAATTTCAGGCAACTGTAATCTGATCATTTTTATGTTGACTAATTCTGGATCAGGAAGCTCACTAAGAAAGCATAAGGAAGGACCTGGGGAAAATGAAGTTAAGTTTATATTATACAGTGTGTTAGTCTGGGTAGACTAGAGAAACAAATCCATGGACATACATATGTATATAAGAAAGAGATTTACATACAAGAGCAATCGAACATTGAGAAAACATCCCAGCCCAGTCCAGATCAAGTCCATAAGTCCGATAATAGCCCATATTTCTGATATCAATCTATAAAGTCCTCTTCAGACTCATGAAACACATGCAATGATGCCGGATGCAGAAGATCACAGGCCAGTGGGTAGAAAGTCTTTGGATCCAGGGTCATTGGAAACATCTCAGCACTGGCATCTCTGTGGCTTCTGTGGCTTCCGAGGTCTGGGTACATCCATGTGGCTTGTCTTATGCAATGTCTCCCAGGGAGTAGCAGAGAGAAAGAGGTGTCTTCTGCCTCCAAGTAGGAAGTACCAGATTTCCCAGAATTCTCAGAAGGTCTGCCCACAGAAGTCTCATTGGCTATCTCCAGATTGACAGCTTAGACTCCACCCCTACACTTTTAATCCTTAAATTGACACCAGATTAGGAGACTACCACACCCACCCCTGGGGACAGTAACAGTGAAGCAGTACCAGAAACCACAGTTGAGGTGCAGCAGAAAATCAAACTCTTCTTTCCCAGCACAGGACTTCAGCAGAACACTGAGATGGAGAGTAATGATCAGTGTACTCAAAGGTTTAGAATCACTTCACCCTGATGATCCCATTTCCTCATGAGGGGGAAAAAACCAATATGCCAATATTATCAGGATAATATAAAACAAACAAACAAATCTTCATTGATTGATTTTGACTCAGTGGTGCTGTAGGCAAGGTAGAACTGTCTCTGTGAGTTCCTAAGACTATAACTCTTACGGGAGTAGGAAGCCCTCTCTTTCTCCTACAGAGCTGCCAGTGGTTTCGAACCACTGATCTTGCAGCTAGAATAACCACTAGCATTCAAATAAAATGACTGATATAAAATAAGTTTGTTAATAAACAGAAGGCAATTCATTCCCTTTGCTCAAGTAGGCATTGCAGTTTCGTTCCGGTTTATGAAAAATATAGAATAAAGCTTAATTTTAGATTCAAATGAATTTTCCAAGTATTTTTCTTAAGTACACTCATTCCTTACTTATCCGCATGGTTAGGCTCCCTGAGACCTTTTTCTTCTCCCTTTCCACACCACAGCAAATTTGAGCTGAAAGTCCTCAGGCAACATAGGAGATGAAAACCTGGTACAAGTGTCTGCTGGTTCCAAGCTGCCTGCATGTCTTCCTGGAAACAGTGGCCCCAGAAGAGTCTAGTCTCATGAGTCCCCACTGGTAGGAAAGAGTGGAGGGCAGGTTAGCCAGCTCCTTGGATGCTGCCTGAAGAGTTTCATCAAAGGAGAGAATGCTCCACAGCCCATGATTCCAAACCCACAGACTCATTAATGCTCAAAATAGTAAGCTTTTTGAGGTTTTCATATTTTAATAAAGGCAATAAATGAGGAGTATGTATATTTAATTTATGCTTCAAAGAAAGAGAGAAAATGAGTATCTGAATCTTGGTTTAGTTTGACGTTCTCTATTTTGATTTGGGATGCCTGACTTGAAAGTAAGCTGAAAACACATCTGGAATACATTTATTAATAAATTATGCACATTTATCATTGTCTATGTCTAAATCAGTGTTTTTCAACGTAGGTGATATCTTCCCCTGGGGGACTCTGGAACAATGAGGGTGGGCTATAGAAGTAGATTCTTACACTTTATCGTAGTACATTCTTAATCATCAGGGCAGCACTGAAAAGGGAACAGTGGGCCAAGTGAGTTTGAGAATTTGTGCTTTAAATTACTAGTAAACTTTAATTTCTCTCTTGCTTTTAGTAAAAATAAGGGAAAAGAGAGGTTCTTTGACCTCCCCCTACACCCAATCATTAAGCCTTTAAGACTATTTGCCACCTGTTACTAGGGGTATTTGGGGATGTGAATATGCCCTTGCCAACCCCACTGAATTGCAGCACTGTAATAGCCATAAGAATATGCAAGCACATAGACAGACTAAGGTTTTCAAATGTCACACAGATAGTGAGTGACACTAGGAGGTGAAGACAATTTTACCTTTTTGTTTAGTGACTTTTCTCACAGTCATTGCAGCCTGCTTCTTCTGATTTTCAGAAATTTCAAAACCTATGAGACAGAAATATATGGTTCTTTTATGAGAAGCTTAAACCCTCCATCAAATGCATACATTAGAGCAACTTTTCTAGAAAAGCAGTTTATCAAGATGGAATAAAAGTATAGGGTGGGGGGAGGTCATTCTATTTCACCTACTAGTATCCTTTATATTAAGTTTACTAAGATAATTAGAAAATAAGACAATAATTTAGGTATAAAGATGCACAGCACAGTATAGAAGGCAAAAATATTGAGAATATGATTTGAGGAGCTGTTGTTAAATAGAGAATGCTTAAACAAAGTAAGATGTAAAATATTCCATACCATTAGCATATTTTACAACCAGAAGCAAAAACACAAAGGAAATAATGACTCAAAAGATTAGAACATTAGAACAGAGAATAAACCAAACCAAACTCACTGCCATTGAGTCGATTCTGACTCATAGTGACCCTATAGGACAGGGTAGACCTGCCCCTGAGAGTTTCAGAGACTGTAACTCTTTACAGGAGTAGGAAGCTCTGTGTTTCTCATTCAGAGCAGCTGGTGGTTTCAAACTGCTGACCTTGCAGTTAGCAGTCCAATGCATAATCACTACACCACCACGCTCCTAGAACAGAGAACACATATACAAATAATAAAACTTTCAGAAAAATTAAATAATAAAATAGAAAAATACTAATTATACTCATTAAGTAATTAACAGAAAATTTCCCTAAAGACACACCTGTTGAAAGAGTCTTGCTATGTCCAGGCAGTATTAGGATATATACGTATTTTAACATCTAGATATATACTAGTGAAATTCCTAAGCTTCAAGGCAAAAGAAAAAAAATTCCAAGCTTTAAAACACATAAAACAGCTTATTTTAACAGGGAAGAAATCACACCTATATCGTAAAACCTGCAAAAGCCAGAACTATTGTAAGGTGGAAGCTTATCAGAAAAGGAAAACTCAAATATTTTTACTAAAATACTGGTAAGACTGTATTCTGCCAAAGGAAGAAAACTTGCAAGATCTGGAAAAGCAAGACAATCCTGTCAAATTCTGGCTCTCATATATTTCACTGTATCAAAATTATTCTGAATAATGCCTGAATCCATAAGAAATTATAACCAACATTAAATTACTTAAAAATGAATAAAAAGAACAGTTCATATGAAAATCTTTGGAGTATAGGTAAGGCTATACTAAAAAAAAATAGTCAAAGGATATAACTAGGCAACTCACAAAAGGAATATAAAAAAGTATTATATAAATGTTCAACATCACTAGTTGAGAATAGCAAACTAAATCAAACAGATACTACCCAATGAGGGTGAGGATGTGTAGGAATGAGTAACCATAAAATCAAGGTGGAAATGTAGATTGTATAGCATTCCTGCAAATTAATCTAGAAAGTCTATTTTAAAATTAACTATTCATAACCTCACACTCAGTCATTCTACATAGGCTGTCTATTCTATAGGAATAAAATAAATATGTAAGAGATTACGCACATGAGAGTTTTTTACAGTATTATCTATAGTGGGATCTGGAAAACTGAATTTCCAGTAAATGAGGAAGTGATGCTATTTAATAATATGGAATATTATATAGCTGTTAAACAAGAAATGCTATGGATTTATTGATGTCAATTTGGTTAATTATAGTCCTTGCAAATCTAGGTGTTGCTATGAAAGTATTTTGCAGATGTAATTAAAGCCCCTAACAAGTTGACTTTATTGTAAGGGAGATTATCCAAAATAATCTGGGTGAGGCAAACTGAATTTGTTTTAAGACCTTAAAAGCAGTCCTTTATGTTTCCCCAGAAAAGAACATTCCTTCTGCGTATCAGCTAAAAGCATACTCATGGAATTCCATCCTGCTTGTGATTTTCCCTTTCTGACTACCAGCAAATGACAGCTTTGGCCATAATTTGAGCTTGCCCATAATCTTCCATTCCTGACTGCCTGCCCTATTTTAGGCTTCTTTCTCAAGACTTACTCACATTACCCTTCTTTTCTTCTAGATATAAAACTAGATGTAAGGAGTCCTGGGAAAATGGTGCCAATGTGGGATCGTCCGTGGGAACAACTCTCTGTGGGATAGCTAGATTTGTGGGTAAGGTAGCCATGTCAGGGACTGGGACACGAGACCGGGTTTTACAGCACACAAGAGTTCTTTTTGTTGGTTCTCACACAGAGAGCACAGATGTGCTTGTCATACAAGAGGTCCCTTTTCACAACATCCACCACACTTTGAATCCCTTGCCATTGCAGCAGCAATTCCTGGCATCTTCCCCCTCTTCTCCCTCATCCCCACTTTGGTGACTCATCAGCATGGGAAGTCTTGAGGGACAGTCTATACATTGGTGACAAGCCATAGCCAAGGCCCAGTTCCCTCCCCGAGTGGCTTTGCAAAAATAAATAAGTAAGTAAATAACTCTGGGTATTTGGAGAGAGATCCAGCACCAGGGCTGTTGAGATATGCAACACAGCAGGCTCCAGGAGGTTGGTAGAAATATTCCTATTTTGTTTTGAGAAAAGAAACACAAATCTCCTCACCCCCACCAGGGGAAATGGAACCCGGCATTTCCGGGTTTCTTGGTGGCTTCCCTGCCACAGGCTAGATCACCCTCTGAAAAGAAGCACCTCTTCCCTGGAGCATCCATTATAATAGCCATTTACATCCTATGACTACATGTAAGGAGCAGCTAGTTCTGAGTTTGTATAGGAACCCACCAGTATAAGCACAATAACTGAAATACTGTACTCTACCTACACAAGTACTGTACCTACTTAATACACAGGGTTCATACGGGACTGTAGTAGATTCATTATACCCCTCTCATACACCCATAATAACCTCTGGATCCTGTTCTCTCCACCTTAGCAACACACAACCATGTTTAATATACCAAGTAAAATCACATCTCACATGACTCTCTTGATCAACACATTAAAATAAACACAAAACTTTACTTAAGGGAAGACTTCATATGATTAATACCACCACTTAAAACCTACTTCTGAGTACCAGAACCCTAATTATCATACTCACCACACTCCCTCCTCATTTACACACAATAGTTTTCACAGCACCTACCTGATCCTCCCCTAACCTAAGAGCCAGGCACTCCTCCTTACACATCCCAGATTACACTCTATCATCAGCACACCCCAGATGCGATGCAAGCAAAACCCAACACCTGCAGATACTGTAAAAATCTAGAGAAGCAAAAGTCAATTACTGAAGATTGCTCAAATATGATGGTTGACACAGAGGGTGGCAATACTAATCTCTGACAAAATACACCTCAAGGTACATGACATAATGAAGTAAGAATGGGCATTAAATAATGCTCAATATATCAGTTGATCAAGAAACCATAAGCATAATAAACAGATATGCACCCAATGATAAACCCTTGAAATTCATCAACCAAATTCTCAAAGACATGAAAAGAGAAATTATGAGATGAACAATTATAGTAGGCGATTTCAATACATCACTCAAAGAAAGATAGATCAGCAGGTAAGAAACCCAATAAAGAAACTGAAGACCTGAACAACATAATCAACAACTAGACCTAATAGACATTTTCAGTGCTCTCCAATCAACATGAAAAATAATGCACATTCTTATCCAATGCACACAGCTCATACTGTGGCACAATGCAAGCTTGAGAAAATTCAAACACACAGAGTTAATTCAGACCACCTTGGAAATTAACACTAGAAAGAACAACAACAAAAACAATCAACCCCCTGGAGATTTAATAACACGCTTCTCAAAAAGATTTGGGTATCAGCCCAAATTAGAGAGGAAATTAAGAAGTTCCTAGAAACTAATGAGAATGACAATACAACATACATACCAAAATGAATGGGACACAGCAAAGGCAGTTATCAGAGATCACTTTGTTGCTATAAATGCGCATATGAAAAAAGAGAAAATATGATTAACACCTTAACTCAGCACCTCCAGTAGTTAGAGCAGCACCAACGGTGTAATCCTTATAACAGCAAAATAAAAGGTATCATAAAAATTAGAGCTGAGATAAATGAACTGGAAAGCAGAACTATGGAAAGAATCAACAGAGCAAAAAAGTTGGTTCTTGAAAGGATCAACAAAATCGTCAAACCACCAGCAAACTTAACAAAGGAAAATAAAGGACCAAACATCAATATCTAGAATTAGGGATGAAACAGAGAAAGTCTCAACAGACCACAATGAAAAAAAAAAGGATTAATTATGCAATACTATGGAAGACTGTATTCAATTCAATAATTTGGAGGACAAGGACAATTATCTGGAAATGTACCCTCTCACCAAATTAATGCATATGGACATTAAGAACTTGAACAGATCCATAGCAAAGGAAGAAACAGACAAGTTCATCAAGAAACTCCCAACTAATAAAAGCCTTGGTCCAGAGGGCTTCACAGGAGAATTCTACCAAGCATTCAGAGATGAACTGATACCAACCCTACACAAGCTCTTCCAGAATATAGAACGAAATAGCAAACTCCCACACTTATTCTATGAAGCCAGCGTAACCCTGATACCAAAACCAGGCAAAGACCCCACAAGGATAGAGACCTACAGACTGATATCTTTCATGAACATTGATGCAAAAATTCTCGAAAAAAAAATCCTGGCCAATAGAATCCAATAATGTATCAATCTCTCTCTCTCTCTCTCTCTCTCTCTCTCTCTCTCTATCTATTTATCTATCTATCTAATGACCAAGTGGAATCCATACCAGGCATGCAGGGATGTTTCAACAATGAAAAACAATTAACATAACCCACCACACCACCAAGAAAGTTGATGCAGAAAAGGCATTTGATAACATCCAACATTCATTCCTATAAATACTCTCTAGAAGAAGATGGGTGTATGGATTGTGATAAGAGTTGTATGAGCCCCTAATAAAATGATAAAAAAAGAAAAAGGAGAGGTTTATTCTCCTTATCTCTAGACAACTGGACATACCTTGCAGAAGGGTAGTGGGGAGATGAGCTACT